TAGATAGATAGATAGATAGATAGATAGATAGATAGATAGATAGATAAGATAGACAGTCAGATTTATAGGTGTACTAGAGAGAAATTGGATGACAGAGGTAGAGTCTACAGAAAAAATGTGTTTTCTTATTAAGAGAAGAGACCAAAAATGTGCAGGTAGAAACAGCATAGCAGCTTTTAAAGTCTGCTTTAGAAGACAGTACATTCAAAGCAGAGTTTGAGACCATAGAGAGGACCAGGAAGCTAGAAACATCTGGAAATTATTCAGCAATATTTGGGGTTAGTACAAGCTGAATCTTCTCAAGGCTGGGTCCCAGGGTCATAGGACTTGGCTACATGCCAGTCGGTCAGATCCAGGAGAGCCTGTGTAAGAGAGGCATCCTGGGACCAGTGGGGACAGACTGTGAATCCCTACGTATTTCCTTCAGAAAGGCCATTTCTCCTGAACCCTGGATGGTTCTGGAAGAAGGTGACCTAAAGTCTTAAATATCTGACTCTTTTGCTGTTTAATGGCCTATTTGTGGCTTTCAGATGTCACAGTCTTTGCAAAAATAGACAAAGTTTTTATGTCATCCAGCTCAGTGCTTCCGGAGGTTTGTCCTGCACATTATCAAATCAACTGCTTTAACCTTGAAGGGGAGGAGAAGGCACCACCAGGCCAGAGAGTAACTTGATCAACTAAATCTGTCTAAGCTGAGGGAAGCACGCAAGAAAAAAGTCGTGTTTGGCTTTTGTTGTTGTTGTTGTTGTTGTTGTTGTTGTTGTTTTTAATGACACACCCTCATGGAGTCCCAGCTATATTAGCTCCCTCTGAGACGGCTAAATTAGCCAGGCTGGGTCTTGTCTTGGGAAGAGATGGGAAGGAGGTGTGGGATGGGTAAGCAGGAACTAAGACTGCGCACGTGACCCCTTCGCATCTTCAGATTCCATTATTCCAGCATCTCTCCACCTATAGGAGTACAAGGATGGGACTTTACAGCCCTTTACCAGTTAGCGCAGTTCAGCTCCCTCTCCCACAGTTAACCGGCTCTCTCTGCCCGCATCCAGGCCTGCCAAGACATTCCGGGACAGACGCAATTCTTTTCTGCTTCAGTTGTCAGAGATAGATGAGGCCAAGGACAAATGTCCATTGGGAGGCCAGGAGATGTGTGACCCCTGGGGTTCACTGGAAAGAGAGCGGTTGGGAGACAGCTCACAAGGCAGGAGAAGATTGGGTTACGTAAGCCAAGCATGTGGGTTTGCTCACTGCTATTCACCTGTTGCTGATTAATACACTGCCTGTCACAAATCCAACAAGGAAATGGTTTTCCTGCTTAAGCAAGCTCACCTCATTGCAAGAGGGAAGAATGTTGGCAGAGTCATCAATCCAAGAATAACATATATTGGACCAAAGACTATGGTAGGAAAGCCAGGCATGGTGGCACACACCTTTAATCCCAGCATCAGGAGGCAGAGGCAGGCAGATCTCTGTGAGTTTGAGGCCAGCCTGGTCTATGAAGAGAGTTCCAGAACAGCCAGGGAGATTACACAAAGAAATTCTGTCTTTTTTTTTTTTTTGTAGTTTACAGAGATCTGTCTGTCTGCCTCTGCCTCCCGAGTGCTGGGATTAAAGGCGTGTGCCACCACCACCCGGCGAGAAACCCTGTTTTAAAAAACCAGAAAGAAAAAGACTGGAGTTCCTGTTCACCAGAAACTCACAATCAAGACAGGTATACTTAAGTCAACCGTTCTGTCCAACCCATGTTATTCACATAACAGAATTTCCTCCAGTGCACAAAAATCCTATAGAAGTCAGGCATGCCTTGGGAGGCAGAGGCAGGCAGAACTCTGTGAGTTTGAGGCCAGCCTAGTCTACCAAGTGAGTTCCAGGACAGCAAGGGCTACACAGAGAAACCCTGTCTTGAAAAAAAAAATCCTGCAGAAGTGCTTTGAGTGTTGAGTCAGACAGACCCAGTGGTTCCTTCCAGAAGAGCATTCTTCCAGACAGCTAGAACAGTGTGTGCAAAAGCTAGGGAGTGGGCTAGGGTTCTCCAGTCCTGACATGGTAAAATTCAGCTCAGATTCCAATGGCAGAAGCAGACCCTCCCTGCCCAACAACAAAGATTGAAATCTGAGTAGGGAGAAAGAGGTCAGACCAGTGAACAGGGCAAGAAGGAGAAGAGAGCCCTGGGAGATGGCCAGGCCGTCTGCTAGTGTGGAGGCGTGCCACTGTGAGTCTGCGGAGGGGATGTGTGGGGATGCTGATGACAAGCACGTGCGGCGTGGCTGCTTGCAGGATACATCAGTCTACTCTGCTTGAAGAAAGACTGGGATCCAGTGTGGTGCACAACTTCAGGCCCAGCACTTGAATGAAAGCAGAGGCAGGGGAATCTCTGTGAGTTCCAGGCCAACCTAGTCTGCATAGCGAGTTCCAGATCAGAGCTACATAGTGAGACTCTATCAAGGGGAGGGAGGAGAAGGAGTAGGGGGAGAGCAAGAAGTGTGAAGTGTGAATTAGAGCCTGGGGACACGGGACAGCCCCTGCAGATGGCCTTCTGGGGGAAATGAGGACTCTGAGAGAGAAGACAGGGTCTGGAGAGGAGAACTGAGCGCATCTGTACACAAGAGGGGAACACAGGAAGCTGGCAAGGCAGCAGCAAAGGCTGTTGTACTTTCTGCATCTGAACTGACAGTGTGCTAGACCCTCAAGAATCAGGCTCCACCCAGCATTAGTCTTCCTGGCCCCATCACTCAGTGTGTGCTCTTCCTCTAGAACCCCACGAACCTCGAACACAGCACATCCTGGATTGAGTGTCTCATCACCATCCCTCTTCCAGGCTCTCTCCAAGGCACAGGGAAGGAGTCCTCAGCTCACCCTGACCCTTGACCCAGAAATCCAGGGAGGGTTTTTCTCCCACTCCTTCCTCTAATATAGTGATTCTCCTAACGTTGCAACCTTTTAATACAGTTCCTCATGTTGTGCTGACCCCCCAACCATAAAATCATTTTCGTTGCAACTTCATAACTGTAATGTTGCTACTGTAACAAATCATAACGTAAATACCTGATATTCTCTATGGTCTTAGGTGATGCCTGTGAAAAGGTCGTTCAAACCCCCGGGGGAGGGGGGCACCACCCACAGGTTGAGAACCACCGCTCTAAAAAATCATCTCCCGGGTCACTCTGGAAACAACTGTCCTGGTGTTCACTGACTGTTACTGTCTTAATAACTTGCTACACACTAAGCAGCCTAAAGCACAACACAATGTATCATCTCATAAGAGTTCTGAAGGTCAGAAATCCTAAACTCCAAGCTGTCCACAAGGCTGCATTCTTTTAGGGGGCTCCGGAAAGCAACGGCTTCTTCCAGCCGCTTGAGCTTCTACAAGCCACCTCAGGGTTCTCCCAGGCCAGCAGCACGGTAGCTCCAGATCTCCCCTGCTTCTGACTGTCTTCCCAGCTCACCGACATAGAGATGATGGCCCATCTCTAGACCCTGAATCACATTTGCGAAACGTCTTTTCTGGCCGGGTGGTGGTGGTGCTCACCTTTAATTCACTTGGGAGACAGAGGCAGGCAGATCTCTGTGAGTTCAGAGCCAGCCTGGCCTACAGAGTGAGTTCCAAGATAGCCAGAGAAACCCTGTCTCAAAAACATAGAAAGATAGATAGGTAGATAGGTAGATAGGTAGATAGGTAGGTAGATAGATAGATAGATAGATAGATAGATAGATAGATAGATAGATAGATAGATAGATAGATAGATAGGCAGGCAGGCAGGCAGGCAGGCAGGCAGGCAGGCAGGCAGGCAGGCAGGCAGGCAGGCAGGCAGATAGATAGATAGATAGATAGATAGATAGATAGATAGATAGATAGATGATAAAAAAATCTTGCAAGGGAACTGGTTCACGGATTTCAGGGCTTAGAAATGGTCCCTTTAGGGGTTCATTGTCTTGACTACCAAATACCTCACCCCAGCCTCATTGCCACCCCTGTGTCCCATCCAGAGTCTCCAGCACATTCCCAATTGCACAGGAAGTATTTGATGGGGGTTATAAAGAGAGAGGATCAAAGAAAGAAGGAGAGGGGAGAATGCTCCTCCAGGACGCCTCCTGGGGACAGGAGGCCCTTCTTTCTGTCTCTTACCCACTTTGCCCTTTCTCCGAAGCATTCTTAGCCTTTCTATTTCTTCCCTCTCTTGTTCCTGGCCACAGAGCCTTTGCCCCTGCTGCTTCCTCTGCCTGGAACAGTAGCTACTTTTTTTTTTGAGGGAGGGTAGAGTTAAGTTGGTCTCATTCTAAAGACCCAGATGACCTGAAGTTCACTATGTAGTCTAACTTTACCTTGCCTCCTGCCTCAGCCTGCCAGGTGTTGAGATTATAAATATACTTAGGTATACACCACCACACCCAAGCCAATTAACTCCCTGACCCCGGCCCAGAGTATCTTGACCTTCATACCTCAGTTTAGGGGACACCTCTCCCAGGAAGCTGTCTCAGGCTTCCAGGTTAGGGCTCCTTTGGGGTCTTTAGTGTCCCTGTGGGCTTCCAGCAAACACTGCTCTTATCTGAGCCTTTATCTCGAGTTTGTATAACTGCCTGTCACTGTCTGTTTCCTGCTCTGAGCTGGAAGGACCTCAGCAGGAAGAGCCAGGTCATTTCCTTGTTCTCCTACCTAGTGTCAGCAGGTAGGTTCCTCAACTTCATCATCCTCTTGCCTCAAGAGTGCTAGGTTTACAGGTGTAATCCCACCACGCCTGTCTTTGTCTGAAACTGTAACACCAAACCTGCTAGGACTGACTTGTTGCAGCTTTGGCCCAGGGCTCTTCTTTCCCATATTCTTTTATTGCTTTATGACTGCTTGATTGGAGGGAGGGAGCAGTGACAAAGGGATGGTGGCAAAGTCAGTAGCCACTTTTCTAGGGGGAGGGAGGGGACAAACACAGTTCAGGCCTTAGCTCTGGAAGGCAACTGAGGACAAGGCCTTGGCGGGGAGAGAGAGCTGGGAGGTTGTCCAAAGTGGAGATCTAGAGGGAGGTTTCCCTGCATGGGTCCCATGGGCAAGGCTGCACCTGCTGTCTGCAACGTCTTCACTGGCCTGAGCCAGACTCCAGACATGTAATAAGAATTCCAGGACAGACACAGGAGGTAGCAGCTGGTTATCAGTCATCCTAATGTCTGAGGAGGCTGGGCCAGCGTGTGGGTTCTAGCCGGCATGCCTAAATGGTGGGGGGGGGGCTGCATTCCCTCCCATCCACCACCGTCTTGTTTTCCTGCTCTCTACCCTCCTCTTTGTACTTCCCAATGCCAGATCCACTCTAGGCAGACAGTGCCATCAAATGTCCAGTCCCTTCAACAAGTGTCTCGATTGATGAAAGTAAACCATTAACAAATGACTTTAATCAGGCCTGGTAGGGCAGGTCTGTAGTCCTGGCTAAAGACTAAACAAAAATTCAAGGCTAAACTAGGAGGCAGTGGTGCACACCTTTGATCCCAGCATTCAGGAGGCAGAAGGGGGGGGGGACTCTGTGAGTTCAAGGCCAGCCTGGTCTACAAGAGCTAGTTTCCAGGACAGGCTCCAAAGCTACAGAGAAACCCTGTCTCAAAAAAACAAAACAAACAACAAAACAAAACAAAAAACAGAGTGAGGAGCTAGAGAAATGGCAAGTCAGCAGTTCCAGAGGACCCGGGTTCATTTCCCAGCACTCCCAGGGAAGCTCACAACTGTCTGTCCAGCTCTACAAGAGCTGATGCCTGCTTCTTGCCTTCCTAAATACTGCATTTCATAGCACATATACATATAAGTAGTCAATATACCCATACAAGATTAAAAAAATAAATCTTTTTAAAGTGACTATTAATGGACCTCTTCAGCCTTTTAGGCGGGGATTGCTTTCTTCCTCCCAGCTTTATGATATCCTACGGTTCCGCTGATTTTTTTTTTCTTGGTGTTCATCTAGGTTGTTTTAGGGTTTGTTTGTTTTCTTTCAAGCACTTCTACAGTATATTCTTCTCACTAGCATTGGGAGCAAGTAAGAGAAGCTCTCCTTTGTAGACCAGGTTGGCCTCAAACTCACAGAGATCTGCCTGCCTCTGCCTCTGCTGTCTCTAAAGGCAAACACGGCCACATCCAGCCTAAAAGACTCTCTTAGAGCTGCTCTTCCAGAGGTCCTGAGTTCAATCCCCAGCAACAATGTGGTGGCTCACAGCCACCCCTAATGAGAGGTGGTGTCCTCTTCTGGTGTGCAACCATACATGCAGGCAGAGCACTGAATACCTAATAAACAAATTAATTAAATAAAAAAATAAGAGAGAGTCTCTCAAGTGGAAGGTATTTGCACATCTGCACTTGGGGAGCAGTTCCTAACTCGTCATCCACAAACACCTTGTGCTTCCAGTCCTCGGATCTTCCCCAGTTCTTTAGCAAATCTTTTGGTTTTCACCAATCTTAGGGGTTTATAAAGGAATCTTACTTTTCTTTCATTTAATTTCCCTGATCACGAGTAAGGATGCACATTTGTGGGCTTAAAAACCTTTTGGATTTGTGTTACAATTGTCCATATCATCTTCCTGATTTTCTATGTTACTTTTCTTCTTGACAATCTTTAGTTTTTCTTAGTATGTTTCATTCAGTTTTTTGGGTTTTTGTTGTTGTTGTTGTTGTTGGCACATTAAAGGTTTTGTTTCCTTTGTGAAGGTTAGCTGTAAGCCTTTTTTTCTTTCTAGCAGGGTTAGCAGACGAAAGTGCTGATGACTTTTGAATAATGATCTAACAGTCTCACTGCACTCACCTGTTCATTTTATGGAACTCTTTTCAACATCTCTAGAAATTTTTTGTACTTTTTCACACCCCTTCTCCCCCCCCCCCCCAAAAAATGCATCAACAAAGGCTTACTGGAATTTGCTAGGTAATGGGACATGCTTGTTTTGAAACCTGGAACTACCCAAAGTCTATCAAATCCAAACAAATAGGTCAGCAACGCCCCCTTCTGGAGGCCTGCCAGCAGGACAGAACTCTCCTGGAGCTGGCCGCTAGGTTTGTTCAGATCAAAGCGCCAGGCTTCCCAGCCCAGCTTGAGGTCTGCCTCGCTGCCTCAAAGCAAAATGAAACCCACGCAGAGGACTTGACCACCTGGATTAGACTAAATGACCTGCTTAGAGAATGGTCTTTCTCGATTAGCTAAATCCACTGTATACTTCCCCGCCCAAGTCCCAGGAACATTAACAAACAGGCCTTGGGGAGGGGATAGCCCTACAATGAGAAGGAGGGGGAAACTGAAACTGGCCCCTCCCCTACCTTCACCCCTGCCCTGCTTTTAGTCTGTAACCCAACCAGGCTTCCACCTGAAGTGGCGTCCTAGCCTGCCTTGAAGAAGATGGGCAGCAAGACTACAAAATCGTATTCAGTGAGCTGTGAACTCGGGTCATCCTTGGTGACGCCGGAGGAGAGATGGAGAACGAAGAGCAGGTGCCCATATATTGGGCACTGGCCAGTCTCGGGCCCCAGGTGTCTTCACAGAATGGTACTCAGGTAATTTTCCCAGAGACCCCCGACTCCTTCTCTCATGTCTCTAGGGCATATAAGGCCCTCGTGGTCTGATGTAACTCCTGGCTTCGTTTCTCCCATCAAAGCTAAAGAGCGCCCTACCATGGAAACTGAACGTGCCCCGGGAAGTCACACAGATTCAAGCTCAAATTCCCGTGTGAATTCAGGCATGACTTATTCAACTCATCCAAGCTTTGATTTCTTCCTCTGGCTGTAGGAGAAAAGAGCTTCCTTGTGAGACTGTGGAAACGACTGGGTTAAGTTTAAATAAAGTACATCACACCGGAGCAGCGGCTTGAAAGCCTGTTTGGGGTGACTGGAAGGACGTGTGCTGTTTGCACAAGGAAATCAATGATTCCGTTCTCCTGCTTAATCGGGTGTTGGACATTTGCCAATCTTCCTTTTTCTTTCCCCCAATGAACCAAGAAATTAGCTCCCCTGGAAAGAGGGGCAGCCCCTAAGCACTACATGTGTTCAGAATAGAATCGATGTACAAACATCAACTCATTTTCTGCTTAGGATAGCCTTGTGAGCTGGATAAAACAGGCATAGAGCCATGCTCCAGCTGAAGACACAGAAGTTCCAAGAACCACGGTGACTTCCTAAAGTCACATGCTGAATACAGAAGAGCAGTGACAGGAAGCTGTGTGTGTCCTTCCCAGGATCCCGAGTGGCTTGGGTCCTGGCTCATTCTCTTTCTCCTGTCCTAATGATGAGTCTCAGGCCTCCGATTATTGCACAGCGCATTTAACCTGGCTCCTAGACAGGCTGAACCTCTTTCTTTAGAGGATAAATTGATCATTTCATTCCTATCAGCAACAGTTGCCTGACTCACGTGACCCTTCCAGTCTCCAGGGTTTTCCTGCTAACAAGAATTGACTAGAGAGCTATTGGAATGGTCTGTCCTGTCCCTTTAAGAGACAAGCCATGCCCACTCCCTCATCCACCAAGGCAAGCTGATCTTCCACTTCCAGCCTGAGTTCCTTCCCCTCCTCCCCCCCCTCAGAGGCAGCTTCTGTCTCTCCCTTCTCCCCACTTCTCCCCCATCCCCGCACCTCTCTCTCCACTCTTCCCCCTTCTCTCCTTCCCTTCCATAACCCACTAAATAAATAGCCAACTTCACTCTGCATGGGGTGCCTATCCATCTCTGTCTCTCATCCACCACATGGCTTTCTGCCTGGGACCCGGCTGCCTTCGTGACCTGCCCTGGTCTCGGGACCCACTGCCCACTAACTGCTGCCGTGTGGTCTCATGGCCTGTTGTCCACTGCTGCCACTCGGGGACCTGCAGCATTTTACTTAACATTTTGTTAACTTAAGGTTAACAGACAGAAGAGAGGGTGAAAGAAGTATCTTAGAGGAATCAGCAATCGTTACTTAAATGTAAAGTTCCTGCTCGTCCCTGTGGTCAGGATAGTGGCCTTGCATTTGCACTCTGTTGGTCTTTGTGACCAAGCCTGTGTCTGTTTCATCCTCAACACACCTGGCCTGGCATCTGGCATCTTCTCAGAGATGTCTCCCACTCTAGCCTTCAGTCACATTTTGAATGTCAGACTCTGTCCGGGTCCCGCCTGCCCAACATATTATATTTGTCAGTGCTTTCAGGGAAGAATGTGGATCAAGAATGAAATAGACAACAGATAGAGTGGGGAGGGCATCTAGTAAATACTGAGACTCACCTGGCGGTTATTTCTACCAGCCTTTATATACTCCACTCCAAAAAGCAAAAGACTTCTTTACCATGATAAAAGGAACAAACAAACCAACCGTCTTAATACCCAAACCACAGCCTAGGTCAAACACACACACACTAGGTCAAAACAATCTGTTAGTAGCCACACCTTAAGTAAAACCTTGAAGTAGCAAGAATAGGTCTGAACTCTGACCTTTAGTCAAGGTGGAGAGGAAGGCACAGTCCTCAGCAAGGCTCCTCCACAGCTAGCCTGGGTTTTTTCGTTTGTTTGTTTGTTTGTTTGTTTGCTGGTTTGTTTGCATTTGACCTTGTTTTGTATTCTGTGACTCTTACTTTTTTCTCCCTACTTGCTCCAAGTGAAGAATAGAACCAGACCCCAGTAGAATTTAAGAACAAAGCCTAACCCCCGGGGCAAGCAAACGTCAGGATTGAAATCTCTGACCTTCAGGTTGCCAGGAGGTCGTTTGAGGTCATCCAGGCCAATCTCTGCAGATAAAGAAATGGAGTCCTGACTAGAGGCCCTGTGTCACCTCTCACCCTAATGACAGCCCTAAGCCCAGGAACCACAACCCAGGTCTCCGACAGTCTGGGGTAATAGCTGGCATTTGAAACTTCTTGGGAATGTGTTTCCATTTATTTCCCCACCCCTCTCTTCAGGTCCCAGAGAAAGGGAAGGACCTTCCTGTGGTTGTTTACAGTTGGTGTCTGAGCTGTAAACAGAAACCTAGGCCCTAAATTTCCCAGAGCCTCCTTCTAACAGTAAACAGAACACTTACTACACCTTACACAACATCAGCAGTCATTAAGGAAGCTGGTGCTTGGCCAGGTGTTAGTGGTGTTACACACAGCGGAGCTTGAAGTGAAGACTGGCCTCTGGGATCAGCTAAGAGCCAACCTTTACTGCAACAGAATGATCCAACGTAACAGTTCTCAAGTATGCATTGGCTCACCTGAGGTCGGTACTGGCGCACATACCTGTAATCCCAGTTGAAGCTGAGGCAGGAGGGCTGTAAACTGGAGGCTAGCCTGTACTACAGAGCAAGTTCAGGGCCATTATGAACTGCACATAGAGACTCTGTCTTTAAAAGCAAAAAAAAAGATACTAAAAGCAAAACATATCATCCCTCAATGGCTAATGCAATGGGGTTAAAGAAAACATGAAAAATCACCAAGACAGGGTCCATAGAGACCAACTGGAAAGTCGGCCCAAGTCTTAGTAGTTTTCCCTAAGGAAATGCCTGGTTCCAAGAAAGACCACAAACTGAACCCACCCAGGCACCACCCAGGAACAGACCACCCAAAGGAAATTCCTAAGGTTCCAACTATTGCTGGACCATCACCTGAGGTCCCTTAGCCCAGCACACCCACACCCCTTCACCAAGACACTCCTAGACAGATGTCAGCCAATCTGAGGTTCTGAACCTTAGAAATCCCTCACCCCAACCTCTATTATTAAAAAAGAAAAAACTTCACCCCAACTGAACTCAAAACTCTCTGATTGTCCAATGCCTTGGACACATGGAGAGTCCAAGTTTGAACCTGAACAAGAATAAAAGCTCTTTCCTCTTACATATGGGCCTCAGTCTCCCGGCTGGTTCTTGGAGGACTCCACAGTCTGGGCATTAGATGAACCTGATAGCATCTTGATTCTGTTTTTAATTTATGGAGAACTTTGGTCTGAAAGACCCAGATAAATCCAGACCCCTCTAGCAGAAAAAATAGAGCCAAAAATCTAAGCAGGGAAAGAAGAATCAAAAATCTACATTAGCCAGTTCAGTGACTCTGTTTTAGGAACTAGCTGGAGATAAAGTTAGATTATAATCTTTGAGAATAATCTTGAAACAGGGAGTTACCCCCTTGGGATTATCACTGGTATTTTCGGAATTTTCCACTGACGCCCTCCCTACATCCTTTGGATTACTGGGTTATGATTTCTTCCCTTAAATACCCCTTCTCCCAGCTACTGGGGTCGAACTCCTCCCTTGCGTTGGAAATGAGTCTCAGCCCCAGTGCACTGGTGTCAATAAACCTCGTATGATTGCAGCAAGGACAGTCTCTCGTGAGTTCTTGCGGGGGTCATGTTATCCCAAAACTTGAGTGAGAGTCTCCCCACACCGGAAGTCTTTCAGGTCCAGTGTAATACAAGGTACTTAATGATCTTTTATTCCCCCAACCATTTCCCTTTTGATGAGAAATCCCCAATACAGGAATCCATAGTTAGAGAGAATGTACACAGAGACCACTCGGACCCAATCATCACACAGAAACTATATTAGTTACAACCCTGTTCGGCCAACAGCTCAGGCATATTTCTAGCTATCTCTTATATCTTAAATTAGCAAGGCTCATGGTTTGCTACCTCTTACTTCTTGGGCAGCTGCATGGCATCTTTTTACTCTGCCTACTCTCTCTATATTTCTATTCAGATTTCCCACCTGGCTTTACTCTACCAAGCCATTGGCCAAAACAGCTTCTTTAATAACCAATGGTAATAAATCATATTCACAGCACACAGAGAGGAATCCGACATCAGGAAAATATATGAAGAACTCAGTGAGGAATATGGAATATCTTCGGGTTTTCTCACCTTGAGCATGGAAATGACTAAAGGAGTCCATTAGCACATTGGAGAGTGAGGTGTACAGGGCTGGAGGTAGAAGCCTGGCTAAAATCAGCTCCAGGAGGATGAGAGGGAGAGGTGACCTGCGGCACTGAGTTTATGGGTGGCTGCCCAGTACAAAGGGAGGCAGAGAGAGGGAGATCCTGTGAAAAGACAATGGGAGGTATCAGGGTGCCCAGTGATTGTGCACTGCTGTCTTGACTATCAAAGAAACTGCAGGATGTGTAAGAGAAGATATGGGTGAGAAGGAGTCCTAGAGGGAACCCAGCAGAGGCGCTAGTAACCTGGCTCCTGACCAGTTGTGCCCCCTGGTTACTTCACAGAGTCTCACCTGCCCCCCGAGGTGCTGTCCTGGTCTCTGTGCTTCCCCGAGAAGCTATACTTTCCATGTAGGTCATTTCCTAACCGGGCTGAGTCACTTATTTGTGGAAGGATGTGGTACAGGTCCTTGGAGAGAGAAGACAGCTCGACCTCAGACAGAAATATGTCCTCTGAAATTTGAGTTGCCTTCTGCTAATTCCCCTGGAGACTGGTGTCAGGTAACTGAGGACAAGATTATAAACACAGTCCCTTCTGCCCCCTCCACCACGTGGCAGTGTCTGAGTGATCTCTTTCCGGGGGGTTAGATGTTAAACCTTTGTATAGGAACCTTGATGGGAAGGAATATGTCCAATGGGTAGTCTCCAAAGCAGCTCCTACTCCCTGGGTAACCTTAGTGCTTCAATGGACAATGACACATTCACAGAGGAGACTGAACAACAGGATGGGTGTGGGGAGGGGGGTCTCAGAACACAGACGGGGGAAACCTGCACCAACAGAGGCCCTTACTGATCTGGGAGTTCTGCCCACAAGGCCAGTGCTTGGCCTGTGTTGACTCATCCTTACCACAGCTGGGGGAAGATGTAGAAACAGGCTAAGTCCTAAACTATTGGAATACTCCAGGTAACGTGACTGTAGTCGCTGCCCCAAGCAAATTAGGAGCCCATACTCTATGTCCATCTCCCCACACATATATTGCCCTACCAGGCTTCCAATCCCCATCACACACACACACACACACACACACACACACACACACACACACTAATTATTATTACTGAGGGCTGTGAGTGAAGGGGGCAAAATGGTTACCTAACGTGTGTTTGTGTCTGTATGTCTGTGTGTGTATGTGTGTTGGGGGGGAGTACTAGA